GTGATGCATTGGTAGCAGTAAAGGGTGTGAACAAAATAAATACATTTCTTCGATCAATATACAGAATAGTTCATTGTTCTCTTACGCAGTTGAATAAGAAAATGCCTTGATACACGAAATTACTATGCATCAAAAACAATCTAATGTAACTGATTTATTTAATAAATATTAATTTTTATTTTAAAATTTTTTTTTCTTTTCATTTTTACTAATTTTTACATACGTAATATTCTAGTTTTATATCATAATTTTAATAATACAAAAATACAAAATATCATTATTATAAATTTTAGTTTTGTATAAATAATAAATGTTGTATATAAAATTAAATTATTAATTTCTGAGTTACAGTAGAACCCGTTTAAGACGCTCTCGCTTAAGACAATTTCCCGGCTAATACGCTCATTTTTACGAGTCCCTTGATTTTGACAACGTTTAACATGGAATTAACTCTGGATAATACGCTCTATATTCCCGGATAAGACGCTCGCCTTGTCAGTTATATTAATATAAAAATACAYCGTATATACGTATCACTAATAATAACTAAATAATAACGATAACGAATAATGTGTACGTGTTAGTAATACTGGTTTTCGGACGATAAATATTGACGATTAGATACAACACCCTACACATGGCTATTCACGTAATCGGATATGGCCCCAGTTAACAAAAGTTAGTGGTTGTATAAAGACTTATAGTAAAGTGTAATCTATTTTATCCTCTTTAAGTGTAAATTATTCGAGTTAAATTTTTAATYATGGGTGATCGTGGAGGAATTAAACGAAAAGCTCTGTCTGTTACTGACAAGTTGAACATTTTAAAAATGTACGATGAAAAAAGTGTCAACAAAAATCAAAAAGAAAAAATCCAAAAGAAATGGATTTACCTGCATCGACCCTACGAACAATTTTGGCAAACAGAAGTAAAATTGAGAGCAGTGCAATGACCGGTAGTTGTAAACGACAAAAAATAAAACATGGTAAATTCGATGAACTAGAACATATTTTGTTGGAGTGGTTTAACCAAGCACGTACTTTAAATAATAACTCACTCAGCAAAGTAAAAAAAAAACATAATAGGTAGGTACATGTTTAATATTATGTACAATATGTAAAAAAATTTTTGTTCCCGCGTAATTTTTTGAAATAAGTAATATAAAATAACTATAATTGTAATAACTCACCCAGCAAAGTAAAAAAAAAAACATAATATGTACAATATGTAAAAAAAATTTTTGTAAAAAATATGTTAAGAAATTTTTGTTCCCGCGTAATACGATTTCCCRCTTAAGACGCTATTTTTAACTGGTCCCYHGRAGAVCGTCTTAAACGGGTTCTACTGTATTTTCAAAAATKTATCCCCCACCCCACCACTCTGAGTAGTGGACACCTCTAAATATCGGACAAAATTACGGCGACCAAGAGTGTCCGGTATTTAGAGGTTGCACTGTAATTAATTTTTAAGCAAGATATGAGTATTTTTAAATTTTGATATTTGACACTCATATCTTGCTTGAAAATTAATTTGCGAAGAACACGATTTTCAGGTAGTGAGTCGTGTTCATTCRMATGCTTACGGCGCGCCGTATAGCGGCACAATCAACCGATGTCACTAGTTAGTACAATATTATGACAACAGAGAGCGCGATACGGTGCCGATTCTCTAATTTGACACAACAAGTCGATATTTTATCATGAATTAAYTCAAAATATACTGTTCAAAGGATTAATTTGTATATAACAGCTTCCGTGGACCCAGATGTAACCATCAAACGTCAGGCCAACATGATAGTCGTCGAAAATCTTATGGAAACCGCCCACGAGGAAAATCGCAGCTGAAACGGATATGAGACACTAGTAGGGCATATAAGACCACCGTTCGACAGCCGCTCGTTTACCAAATGTTTGCCAGACGGGGATCTCACCTGGTAGAGTGGTAGATAGCCCCGACGACTTAATTACAATTTGACTCTGGAGAATTACAAATTGGATTAAAAAACAAAATAAACAAATTAACAGCAATCTCCTTTTGATTATTATTCTTTTGACAATTTAAATACTTAGACAACATTACACATATCGACAAATAAATAATAATATACATACAATGCTAATCTCAGAAGCATAGGTCCTGAAACAGGTAAATTTTTTTTTCGTAGTTTTGAAAACCAATTTAATACTTCACTGTCGATGACAGAGGTTTCTGTTTTTGAAGCTTTGTCCRTTTTCGGTTCTCTTCTCCATTTTAAGCCCAAGTTTTGTAGAGAGCATCTTTATTAGCTATGATATCCGCGATTTGTGTTTTACTAACACTAAACTTATCTG